GAGGTCATCTGAAGATTCATGTTGAAAATAAACATGAAGGAGTGAGATATCCATGTTCTCTTCTGCCGTTTAACCAGCCATAGCGAACATAGATGAGAGAAGAGCTTTACTATATAGATTACAATTTTGTTCCTACTTTTTTGGCACAGTTTTTCATTTTGAAAAATCTCTTTTACCATCTCTTTTGTTAGAATGAAAGGATAAGTAGAACTTGCAAGGTAATATCCAAGAAGCAAAATATTTTGAATTTTGAATTTTTAACTTTGCCCGCTCCCCCCTAGGAGCTCCTTGGGGGGACATTTTGCACTTCGAACATATTTCCCCGCCCTAGTTTTTTTTTTCTGTATACGCCTTTGTTAATTTTTTAAAGAAAACTTACAGAATAGTGACACTGGCTTATTTTTTAAGGGGGGGGGATGCAGGAAATATTCAATATTGTAAAGTATCAAAATATTTATGTAAAATAACAGCTTCAAAATGAAAACTTAAGATTTTGAATCTTTCTGTAAAAAATGTAAAATTTTACTATTTGCAATGATGGATTTTTCATGAACACGCTTACCTGGGAGAGGTGTATGCAGTCCAGAAGTAGGAGATAAAGGGTAGGAGGGTGAGGTTAACCCAATCACCTAGATCTAGATCAAGGTAAAAGGGGGGAAACTCACCAAAGAGGTTGCGTACTTAGAGTTGTTAGAAATTGTATAGCTGAGGTAAGAACTAGGATAATAAGACCTAGTGAGGTAACGCCTGGTAAAATAAGGGTCAAAGTAAGATAGTAAAGGTAAGGTAACTGAAAGTCTAAACCGCAAACCAGCAAAGCTGAGTCCAATCGCGCAGCAACCTAAAACTCCTAGTTTACCTGTTAGCAGTTGACGCCCAGGACAAGTGAATGCTTAGCAATGTCTGAGAGAATTTTATCACCAAGAAAATCATCAGGAATTGGGTTCTGAATCCAGGTTAGTAGGGCTGGGGAGACCCAAGCTTGGCTAACAGGTAGATTTAAGTTAAGTTGGGAAGAGAGAGACCAGAATTTGAGGAAGTCTGCTTTTGATAGTGCATCAGCCATGGTGGCTAGTGGGGTAGAGCATCTGAGATTTTTTGATATTTGAACAGTGCTGCCAAGACCAGAGGCTATTCTGGAAATAGCTAGCACTATTGAAGTAGAGAGTTTGCAAGAGCGACTATAACCTTTCTTGCAGATGAATACTGCAGCAGCATTGTCAACCCAGAATATGATAGGTTGATTCTTAGCCCAGGTAAAGCCACTGGAAATGGCTAGGAGAGGGCCAATGAGTTCAAGGGCAGACATAGTCCTGCCTATGCGTTTCCCATCGAATTGTCTTTTGTTGAGATTAATAACCCTAGACCAAGGTAAGTAAGCCCATCAACTATTGGCTACAGCACCTACACCGAGACCAATTCGTTCCAAGGAGCCACCTGCTGCATCAGTGTAGACTTCAATAGACCATGGTGGAAGTTTAAGGTCGGGATCAATAACCTTGCCTCTGCCAGAGCACAGCTTGATCATGGTGAACCAAAAGTATAACTGTTTTTTAAAATTGGGGGTTAGGATAATAATGTCATTTCTATTTGTAGAATGGCTGTTTAAATCTAACAAATGGCATAGATTAAATCTACCTTCGGGAATAAGTGGGTGAATATTGATGATTTTCCCCACGATACTCCAGATTTTAACTTGCTGTGTAGAGTCTGCGTCTAGAAGTAGTTTGATATCATCTAAAAGACGAGCAAGTTTCTCATTGTTTAACGCCCAGGTCCAGTTAATTGTATCATAAACTATACCGAGTACTAGGCCTTTGGTATTGGGCCCAAAGGACTTCTCTTGGTCGTCACGGGGAGCGAGTTTAACACCAATTTCGGCGGCTATGGCTGTGAAAGTGTTATCGAACACATGTAGAGTATCTGAATTTGCTGGTGCTGCAGCGCAGCAGTCATCTAAATGTTGACATATCCTGTTGGTTGGGAACCGAGATTTTGTTGCGACGATATGTACCACAAGTTTGGCTAACCTGTCAAAGATGCCAGCACTGCTGGCACAGCCAAAGATAAGGCATAGTTCTTTGAACCCCATATCTAACCAAGTGAACCATTGTAGGTTAGAATCAGCTTGACTGACAGCAATATGTTTATAAGCATCAGACCAATCGATTTTACACATTTTGGCAGAACGACCTGCCAAATGTAAAGCTCTGAGCCATTTGGTGGTGGACGACATCACGGTAGGGAATAGACTAGTATCAATGCCTTCATTGACACAATTGCCTAGGGGAGCACTAAGGTTGAGGATAATTCGTACCGATCCATTGGGTTTTTGTTTGGTCATGATTCCGTTGATCTTTGCATCCTTTGGGATTTCTTCAAGGGGAACTGGACCAAAGGCAAACCCCTTTTTAATCCAGTCAGCAATAGCATCAGTGACATGTGGACCAAATTCAAAGGCGCTGGGAGCATTTGTAGAAAAAGAAGGGTAACGGGCATTGCCGACACAGCCGATGTCAGCTCCGGAAGAGAGATCTTTGCAAATGTCGTCAAGAATATTTAAATTAGGGAACCCTGTATCAAAAGCCAATCTGCGAAGCACAACAGGGTTCACTAAAGAGGTAGCAGGTTGAGTGTAGTTGGCAGGGAAGTTAATCCAGAAAGAGGCTGGTGGGATAGTTTTGTAAGAGCGAAGGGTGTCAAGGTTGTGTTTAGGTTTGAAGATTTTCGGTGGTGGTAACACGGGTAACGGCTCAGTTGAAATTCTATGAAGTAGCGCCAAAAGTGATTGATGTTTGTTCATAGTTTGCATGCTGATTTCTGGTAAGGGTTAATTATTGTTGATAGAGAAAGTCATAAACAAGAAGTAAATATAGCAGCGGTAAAATGAGAAATAACTATTGTCGGATAAACACAAATATTAGTATTGGAGAGTAAAATAAATTGCGGCATTTGGATTATGTCGTCTTTGTAGACATTAAAAATATTATTATCTTCAATGATCAAAATTGTAATAATTTGAATAGGTTAAAGGTATGAATTTGATTCTAGATACTGCAGTAAATATATATCGTAAATATTGGAGACCGCAGTTCGAAGTATAGTCTGGGTTGTATAAAAGGATTATGGATTATGTCGTCTTTGTAGACATTTAAAATATTATAAACCCCAATGATCAAAATTGTAATAATTTGAGTAGATTAAAGGTATGAATTAGATTCTAGATACTGCAGTAAATATTTATTGTAGAAATTAAAAATATTATAAACCTCAATGATTAAAATTATAATAATTAGATTAGATTAAAGGTATGAATGAGATCCTAGATACTGCAGTAAATATTTATTGTAAATATTGGAGACCACAGTTTGAAGTAAAGTCTGGGTTGTATAAAAGGATGAAAATTAGAACTCTGAGTACATGCCACTAGTTGAAGAACATTTTCATTCACAAATGAGATTGTAGAGTACATGTACGTGTTTTCTATACAAAATATAGGCATATGTTGAAGTACATTCTGATGTACAAAATTAGAATCTTGAGTACATGTAAGTGTCCCATTTATAAAATATAGGTGCATGTTGAAGTACACTCTGAAGTACACCATTAGGTTCCCGAACACACGTACGTGTATTCTGTACAAAGCACACACACAAATAGAAGCACAATATGAAGTAAAAATTAGTTAGAGTTTTATAAAAGGCTTAAAAAATTAGTTTTTATTGTGTATTAGTATGAGCAATCTGTACAAGCAGGAGTACATTCAGATGTACAAAGTAGTTCTAGTTTAAGAAAGGATTAAAAAATTACATTATTGTGCATATGTACAGAGTATACGTACAAGTTGAAGTACAATTATGTACAAAGTCTAGGAACAAGTTCGTAAAAATTAAGGACTGCTAAAGTGTCTAGTGTACATGAGCATGAAATTGTACTATGATAAATGTGTCTGAGATAAAGGACGAGTGCTCAGAATAAAATTGCGAGTGTAAGTACAATTTATGTGTTCTGTGCAAATGTATATATTTTGTCATAAAAGAAGCCAAATTAAGACAAAGTCATAATTAGCATATTCAGCAGATTAAATTGAGCGAAGTGAAATTAGATTAGATAAGGTAGTGGGATTAATGTACTGAAGGACAAGTACATAAAACACCACTAGAAGTACATGTGTAAGTTTTGAATTGTAAACAAATAAGTAATGTAGTTATGAAGAACAATTATGCCAAGAGATGTTACCAGGTAAAGTTAACTGGGGGTAACATTAATAAGCAACCTTACAGGTACAAGTCCCGATATAAATAAATGTAAACCTTTGAGTACCAGTGCATGTATCTAATTGAATAAATATGTAACTTTGTTTATAAGAGTGGCATACAACGATTCAAAAAGTGCAAGTGTGAAAGAAATAACTAAAAGCACATTAAAAAATTGTTTTATTTTAAGTTTAAGGATAACTAATATACTGATCCGACTATTCACAGAATTAAATTTTAATTATTGAAAGCAATCAGGAGCTGTATACTGACAGAATTAAAGATGTTAAGGGTGAAACGCAGCACGGGAGTGTTTGGCAAAACAGTAAGCCTGTTTGGCATCCAACCATTTGTTACACTGGTGAACATACATCTTGTTCTTTAAATCTTTGCAACCTGTAGCAGTGCCAGCATTTCTACAGAAACCATTATTGTAGTTGAAGCAGATCGGATTCGGGCCTACCATGACGATCTTGCTGTGACTGTTGCTAGAGTTATTGGAGGAGTTGAACTGATGCCTAGGGGCAGGGTTGAACTTGAATTTATCCGAGTCAGGTCTAGGATTTCTGCCAGCAGGGACATTGGTGCTGTAGCCTGAAGAAGTGAGTAGGGTCTTCAGAGTTTCTTCCTGCTCAGTAAAGCTCATAGGAGTGCCTTTGCGCCCAGCTCTGGTGGAGTTCTCACGCAGGACTGTATTAAAGAAAGTAGACACTAGGGAAACTCTTTCAGACAAAGAAGTAGCACAGGAGAAGTAGTTGTATTTGTTGATCATTCTGAGGATAATTAGTCCAGTCTGATCGTAAGGCCAAATATGGAGTAGTAGGGTGGCATAATTCAGGAGGGCATCAGAGACTTGAGCCAAGTTAACAGGGGCCTCCCAGTTGAAATCCAGAGACGAGAAGACTCCATTTTCATCCCTTTTCTCAATTTTTTGGATAGGTTTGGAGCTGACGTTAATATTACCGGAGTGGAAGTGTTTGAAGGAGAGACACTTGGTTCGGTCATGCATTAGTTGAATAGTACGTTGAGTAACCTTGTTGTGAGATCCGCTGTATTGTAGTGGAAGGCTCTTAAATTGGTGGCTACGGACCCTAGGAACTTTCTTATACCAGTCTTTGATGTCAGCCAGAGGATATCTTTGAAACCTAGCAGAGTGGAGGTTTTTGAAACCATCATCTTTTTCTTTTTTAAACTTGATTAGGGGGGGTTTCTTGTCCCTGGTCAAAGAAGAGGACAAGTCACTATCAACAGATTTAGCATTTTCCCTATCAAACTGAGCAAGAGCCATGATGTTTTCCAGAGACATGGAATTAAACTTAGCTTTATTCTGGAGAGCAGTTGCTAGCCGGATTATCATCATCTTCATCAGATGAAGAGGAAGAGGTACTGCTAGAAGAAGATGATTCAGAAGAAACAACAGTAGTCTTCTTAGACTTTTTAGATTTCTTGGACTTCTTTTTGGACTTTCTAGAATCATCGGATGGTTTGGACTTCCTGAAGAAGAAAGAATCAGTTAACAATGTACGGAAATAAACAGAAATAAACCGTTAACATTGCTTGGAGGTAGTAAGTATGAATGTAGGTTGTTTAATATGTTTTAACCATTGTATTAAGTTAATATTTATAAAACAGAAACATTAAACAGAAAAAAAAAAAAAAAAATTTTAATTTATAATTTTATGTAGAAGTACCTTTTCTGAATATTTGGGGGGGCGCTGAGTGACGAGTCCGAGACGGCTTCTGTATTATTAGGCACCATATAGTTACTCTGGGTATTATTTGGCGCGCGCACAAACCGACCTGTAATAGTGTAAATTTAACAGGTTGTAAAAAATAAGATATCTGAATGATACACATTAATGGAGTAGAGATAAATAAATCCAGAAATTGTTAGATAACAGACAGGTAAGAAAAACTAAATTGTTACATTGATAGCTTCATTACCTATCTCTGATTGTAGCTGGGTTCTGAGATTGGCGGGATTCAAGTTAATGCCTGAGAGATTATCTGATTCAGAATCGCTAGGTCCGTCATGTTGTGATCCACCTGTAATTTGTATAGGTAAAAATAGATGCTAGATATGTGTCAACTATTATCCCATAGTAGTAAGATAAGGTTAACTTAGACAAAGGCAGTGTCATTAGCAGTATAAAATATAAAAATATAGGAGTAACAAAAAGGGATACAATTATAACTGAAGGTTTCCAAGGGCCCTTGACATGGCGATGCGCCTGGTTCTGGGGAGTTTACAGTAGAGTTCAAAGGCTCTGCTGGACCATCTGCCAGGGGCTTGTATATCTTTGTCAGGAAAACCCATCGTGGCAAGAATAGATGGAATTCCTGCCCTAAAGGAATGGCCAGTAACTGAGCATACTGAATAGTCGATGTAACTGCTAAGCCAAGTACGTAGTTTAGCATTAAGGTTTGTAGGAGTGAGTGTTTTCCCAGAGTTGAGTCTGAAGGCTGGAAGGTTTGGTGCACAAGTTTTGGTATTAAACCACTTGTCATAAGCATGTACAGGGCAAAGATCACTGTTAGTGGGGTATATGTCAATAACCACTGGTTTGTGTAAGGAACACTTAGAATGTTTAAGGGTGACGTCAAGAAATTTGACAGGGAGATTATCAATTGTGGTGAAATTGATAGCGATGTCTTTGCAGAGTAGAGTATAATTTGGGTCAAAAGAAGTAGGGCTCTTGGTCAGTAGTTCGCCCATACGAAAAGAGCCGTGGAAGGCTAAGGTATAAATGAGCCAGTAAAGTCTTTTGTCATGATAAGAAAGGCGATCACTGCTAATCTGCGTTTTTAGAATTCTAAGAATGGTTGGAGTAACTGGGATGCGAGTAGGTTTAATCACAGGGTGAAGCAACTCAACATTTTTCTTTCCAGTTAGAATTTGATTTACAAGATCTGATCTGATATTAGGAACTTGCAATCCTTTGGTAAGGTGCAATTGACGAAGGCCAGCCAAATAAGAATTGATAGTGGAAGCACTAAGATTCCTGCCATTCAACCATGAAACAAAGGTCATAATATAAGATTCAGGAATAGGGAAAGGAATGTCTTGATCTTTAAAGCATAGATTAAGCATTTTAGTTGCTGTTTTGTAGGAAGACCACTGACCAGGTCTGTTTAGACAGCGAGTGGTTGGCTAAAGCGCTCAATGAGCTGGCCACAGCAGGTTGAAGGTTAAATTGCGAAAATGTAGAAGGAGAGAAAACTCCAGCTGGGCCATATTTAGAAGAACCAGTAATTTTAGCTGGGATAAAAGTCGGAAGGCTAGCAGCTGAAAGAGCAATAGATTATCAAAAGAAATGTAAGAAAAAGTAATAATTATGCATTAAAGGATATATATAATTGTAATAAAGATGTAGGATAACGAAATAGTTATGTATAACGGATATAAATTGTAATAAAGCTGTAAAATAATGAAATATTTGTGCATAAAAGGATATAAACTGTGAAGTATACAGGGAATTTATAAAATTGAAATAAATATTAATTAGCTAGATATAGATTGTAGAGATCCTGAAGGATATTGAAACCTGTGATTAGATCTAGTAATGACTGAACTATGACAAATGTCTGAGGATATTGAAAAACTGGGATAATATATAGGTGTTATGATATCCGCCTGGGATATGACTGTTATATCTACCTGGGATAAAATGTAATTACTTTGACATCCATTAGGGGTATGACTGTAATATCCACCTGGGATAATATATAGTTAAATGGATATCCACCTGGGATAAGATTGTAATATCCACCTGGGATAATATATAGGTAATTCGATATCCACCTGGGATAAAATATAATTAAATCAATATCCATCTGGGATAAGATTGTAATATCCACCTGGGATAATATATAGGTAAATCGATAACCACCTGGGATAAGTCTGAAGTATCCACCTGGGATAAGATAGTAATATCCATCTGGGATAAGATTGTAATATCCACCTGGGATAATATATAGGAAATCGATATCCACCTGGGATAAGACTGTAGTAATCACCTGGGATAAGAAAGTAAAATCCACCTGGGATAGGACTGTAATATCGACTTGGGATAAGATTAGAAGAGTAAGCGACATAATAATAAATAATAACAACATTAATAAATATAATAAGTACAAGGGAAAAGACTGTAAAATCTACAGTGAAAGATTAAATGAAGCAAGGGAAACAAGGAAAAAATAAAAACCAAGATCCGCCTGGGAAAAGACTGAGAATAAATAAGAAATAATAAATACAATAACCACCTGGGGACTTATAATTCGTAAAGCTAAGGAAAAAGAGCAGATGAAAAAGAAAATAAGTAGGGAAATAAATGATCAAGATAAGAAACCCAACCTTGAGAAGGAAGGTCCGTAGGAGGAACAGTAGAGGCCTCTGGCCAGAGAAGAAGGGGGAATCGAATTTGTAGAGCCCCAGGTCCTCTCTCTAGTAGGTCATCAACCCTCTGTTGAAAGGTAAGAAGGTTGGCCTTGACATCAGGTTTAATAGCAGTCCTGAGGAGCTTACTGAGTGGGACTCTAACTCATTAGCCGGTAGGAAAGCCCGGCGCATCATCCCAGCTAGCTCCAGGGAACACAGCAGGAGCGAGGGGGAAGCCCCATAGAGCAGCAATTGGGGACTGTGAGGAGGGGGGAGAAAGGGAGAACTCTGAATCAAACAGGCGAATACCAGGGAAATAGAGATCCAGGTAGAGGGGGTTCTCCGCTAGTTGGGTTTCAGAGAGCGGAAAAAGCAGAACAACCAGCTTAGCAAAGGAGTCAGAGGTAGTATAACAGAAAGCCCGTAGGCAGAACTCTAACAGACCAGCTTGAGACAGGAGAGCTGCAGGAACATTAGAGTTGCCCTGAGTGAACCGGAAATCAAGGTCCAAGGAGCTGACGTAAGCAGAACAGAGAGATCCTGGCGGGAACTTGAATATAGTCAGGTCCTCGATGGACAAGACTAGCTGAGTTGGAGTAGAGGTGGTCCAGTAGTTGGCAGTGCTGAAGGACTTATCGGTCCAAAGGGAACCCAGTAGGTGAAAGGAGGCAGAAGCCACTCTGAGGTTGTCCGGGCTGAGAGTAATAGATAAGCATCCTATGATACCGCCGTTCCAGTTGATATTGTTCAGTAGCACAGTAGGGAAATCAGCTGTCCAGTTGACGGACAGCGCTACAAAATCCTCTGCTGAGAGGTCATCAGGGTTGTTAAAAGCAGCACTGGAGATAACAGTCCTGTCAGGGACACCCGGAGGCATGGCTGAAAAGAATAAAATTAGATAAGAAGTAAGAAAGAATAATCAAGGTTAAGGATAGGAATAAGGAAAAATAAATAAGCAATATAATTCGACATTAAGAAGTAAGAAAAATAATTAAAGTTAAGAATAGGAATAAAGAGTAAATAAATAAATAAGCCATAAAAAAGAAAGACCGACGTTAAGGATTAAGGACTTTAGCTAAAAGAGGACTGTAAACAGTAAAGAGAAATAGATAAATCATTAATAATCGTCTAGGTAAGGGTACAATTAGCTCACTAGTTCAAAAGAGCTTAGGGAGAGAATCAACAAACCATAAAAGTAAAGAAACAAATAAAGGATAATCAATTAATTATAGATAAAGAAATGATAGAAGGAAAATTTAACCAAAAAACTGTAGAATTAAAATTAAAGATAAAGAAAACTGTTTGAAAAGAAATTTTTTAACCGCAAAGATCGGAAGAATAATTATAACAAAGGAACTAAACTGATTAATTAATTTTAATAAATAGAGAAAGCTGTAAAAGATGACTAATTATAGAATCAATAACTAGCAATAGACAACGTAGGTATTAATTAAAATTAGAGTAAAATTAACTGATAATTAATTACTACTAAAAAAAAAAAAAGAAATCTCTAAAAGAGATTAAATTGAGAATTAATAACTAGTAATAGACAACGGCAATAATAAATAACTAACGAAATAAACTTATTAATCACTTTAAAATAATTAAAGAATACAAGAAAATTTAAAAAGAGTAAACTGTAACTATCCTGTATAGAAACTGAAGAAGTAGATAACTGAGATAACTGGTCAGCGTAGAGGTCTAGAAGGTAATGAGTTGTGAATGAGAGTCAGGTAGTGACATAGAGAGAGAGAGAGAGTCCATGTGGGGAGAGGAAATGTGTAACAGTACTGTACAGTATGTACATCGTGAACTGAAGGACCGTCCCAGATGTCGTCTTCAATTTGTTTAACTTATAGCTGTGCCATCTATAACCTAAACAACAATTAGTAATTTAAAATAGATTTATTTTGAGTACAGATTTTTTTTTCTGTATACGCCTTTGTTAATTTTTTAAAGAAAACATACAGAATAGTGTCACTGGCTTATTTTTTAAGGGGGGGGGATGCAGGAAATATTCAATATTGTAAAGTATCAAAATATTTATGTAAAATAACAGATTCAAAATGAAAACTAAAGATTTTGAATCTTTCTGTAAAAAATGTTAAATTTTACTATTTGCAATGATGGATTTTTCATTAGTAATTTAAAATAGATTTATTTTGAGTACAGGGGCTTATCGAGGGGAGGGGGGGGGGTAGAGGGGACGAAAATCCCAGACCCCCTCTGGTCGGACCCCAGGCACTTCAATATACATATTTGTTTGCTTAATAATTGCCAATTTGTCCATTTTATCATATTTTATAAAAATCTTTTAAGCCTAACAAAACTCTATTTTTGTCTTAATACAGTATTTTAGAGTGATGAAGAACAACCCCTAACAGGGTGAACTAAAGAAGCGCGCCAAAATAAAAATGCAGATAAAAATTAAAGCTTTTAAAGAATTAAAAAGTACAATCTATTTATTATCAGAAATTGTCTATATCTTATTTGTAAAATCTAGAATAACTTACCTTTATGAACATTGAACATTATTAAATGTAATTTTATCTTTATAAATTTAGGAGAAAACATGGATCACTGTTCTGATCCTCTGCTATGTGAACCAAAGAGAATCAAGAAGAGTCAAGATAGATGTCCTTGTCTTGCATCTGAATATGCTGCAACTACTGCAAAAAACCTGAAGATTCATGTTGAAAGTAATCATGAAAGAGTGAGATATCCCTGTACTAAATGTGATTATATTGGAAATACAACAAATAACCTGAAGGTTCATGTTGAAAGTAAACATGAAGGTGTCAGATATCCTTGTCCAAAATGTGAATATGCGGCAACTACAGCAGGTAGCCTGAAGCTTCATGTTCAAATGAAGCATGAAGGAGTGAAATATCCATGTTATCATTGTAATCATTCCGCGATTACAGCAGACCATCTGAAGATTCATGTTGAAAATAAACATGAAGGAATAAGGTATCCTTGCCCTAAATGTAAATATGTGGCGACTACAGCATTTAACTTGAAGATTCATGTTGAAAGTAAACATGAAGGTGTCAGATATCCTTGTCCAAAATGTGAATATGCGGCAACTACACCAGGTAGCCTGAAGATTCATGTTGAAAATAAACATGAAGGAATAAGATATCCTTGTCCTAAATGTAAATATGTGGCAAATACAGCATTTAGCCTGAAGCTTCATGTTCAAATTAAGCATGAAGGAGTGAGATATCCATGTTCTCATTGTAATTATTCCGCGACTACAGCAGGCCATCTGAAGATTCATGTTGAAAATAAACATGAAGGAATAAGGTATCCTTGCCCTAAATGTAAATATGTGGCAACTACAGCATTTAACCTGAAGATTCATGTTGAAAATAAACATGAAGGAATAAGTTATCCTTGTCCTAAATGTAAATATGCTGCAACTACAGCATTTAGCCTGAAGATTCATGTTGAAAATAAACATGAAGGAATAAGATATCCTTGCCCTGAATGTAAATATGCTGCAACTCAGAAATATGATCTGAAGAAACATTTGAAAAGTAAACACAAATGAGTAAGATATATCTGTTTTTATTGGCAATATATACTGCAACTAAAGCTAGAGATCGAAAGAAATGTTTTAAAATTACCATAATAATAATATCACATTTACTTATTATTCAAGAATTGTACTAAGAATTCCAAGAAAATCATTTTATTAATAAACTAAGTGCTAAAGATTAATAAATTTTTTTGTATAGTTTACTTTTCTATGGTCGTAATTTAATGAATTTGAGCCGCGTCTTAAATTCCCCAAAAACCGGTTTTAATTAAGCGCAGGCTTAAATCTTGAAACATAGAACAGAAATTTAAATGGAACCATCCATAATTGAGCTACGTCTCAATTTAAGCCGCGGCTTAAATTCTTTTAATTCGGCCTCAGGTGAATGTTTCCAATTCATTTCATTAAAAATATAGTTCCCTTGTATGTTTTTAAATATTGACAATTATTTATCTATCCAAATTATCATTTAATTATTGATGGGCCATGGATGAATCAAATTGATAAAAATATATTAAGCAATGAACTAATTTTGTATTAAGAGGACACAAGAAATGGTCTCTGCATTTCATTGATTATGCTTAATTCATGTTTCAGATAAAATGGCAGAAATGATGACAAACGAATTAGATGTGAATTTAACCTCTACTGTAGTAGAAGATACATGTTTTGTGAATATACCTGATGATGAAATAAAGATTGAAAATACAGAAATTCAAGGTAAATTTAGTAGTTTTACATTTAAAAAGAATTGAATTAAGCCACAGCTGGTTCATTTTTAAAGGAATGGGGAGGGGGGGGGGTCAGAAAATATTTGGCATTGTTTATAGGTTTTCAATAATGAATTGTAAAAAAAAGATAAGTACAAAGTAAAAGATTTAGAATTTTTGTGTAAAAAAAAAAAATATTTCTAAAGAATAACATTAATTAACAGTACTATAACCATTTTTGACAAAATAATATAACAATCCTTTAAGAAAAATAAAAATGCAGATAAAGAATTTAAGCTTTTAAAGAATTGAAAAGTACAATCTATTAAGTATCAGAAATTGTCTATATCTTATTCGTAAAATCTAGAATAACTAATCTAAAAAAGTAATCATGAAAGAGTGAGATATCCCTGTACTAAATGTGATTATATTGGAAATACAAAAAATAGCCTGAAGGTTCATGTTGAAAGTAAACATGAAGGTGTCAGATATCCTTGTCCAAAATGTGAATATGCGGCAACTACAGCAGGTAGCCTGAAGCTTCATGTTCAAATTAAGCATGAAGGAGTGAGATATCCATGTTCTCATTGTAATTATACCGCTACTACAGCAGGCCATCTGAAGATTCATGTTGAAAGTATTCATGAAGGAGTGAAATATCCATGTTCTCAATGTGAGTATGCCGCAACTACAGCAAGTAGCCTGAAACTTCATGTCGAAAGTAAACACAAAGGATTGAGGTATCCTTGTTCCCAATGTGAGCATGCTGCAACTACAGCAATGGCTCTGAAGAGACATATTGAAAGTAAACATGAAGGAGTAAGATATCCTTGTTCTCAATGTGATTATGTTGCATCTCAAGGAGGTCATCTGAAGATTCATGTTGAAAGTAAACATGAAGGAGTGAAATATGCATGTTCTCAATGTGATTATGTCGCAACTCTAGTTGGCTCACTAAAGGTTCATGTTGAAAATAAACATAAAGCAGTAAGATATTCTTGTCCTAAATGTAAATATGTGGCAACTACAGCATTTAGCCTGAAGATTCATGTTGAAAATAAACATTTAGGAATAAGGTATCCTTGTCCGAAATGTGAGTATGCTGCAACTCAGAAAGGATATCTGAAGAAACATTTGAAAAGTAAACACAAATGAGTAAGATATATCTGTTTTTATTGGCAATATAAACTGCAGCTAAAGCTAGAGATCGGAAGAAATGTTTTAAAATTACCATAATAATGATATCACATTTACTTATTATTCATGAATTGTGCTAGAAATTACAAGAGAATCATTTGATAAAAGTGCCAAAGCCTGAAATTTTATATTTTGGTTTGTTTACATTTCTAGAATGGTAATTAGTTATTCCGGGAGAATGTTTTCAATTCAGAAATTCTAATGTCAATACTTCTTCATTTGAATTTTTTCACCTTTTGTTTGAATGATAATTTTGTACATCTTGACAATTATTTTTCTTCCAAATTATCATTTAATTATTGACGGGCCATGAATTAATTAAATTGTTTAAAAATATATTAAGCAATGAACTAACTTCGCATTGATATTCCGTATTGCTTTTTATTTTGCTTAGTTCATGTTTCAGATAGAATGGCAGAAATGATAAAACACGATAAGATAAACTCTACTGTTGTAGAAGAAACATGTTTTGTGAATATACCTGAAGATAAAATAAAGCAGGAAAATACAGAAATAGAAGGTAAACTTGATAGTTTTCATTTTCAGGGCGTAGAACTCAGAGCTATCACACACTTCAAATCTTAAATTGAAGCGTTTGCCGTTCGGAATTGGGGGTCTGAGCTAAAATGAACAATAGTTCAAACGAACAATAGTTCAAACGTACCATTATAGTTCAAACGGCAGTAGTTCAAATGAGAATCCACCAGTTTTGTCAATGATGTTTTTTATCCAAATTATTAGTTTATTATGGTCTCAAATGAATTTATTTATTTATAGAAAAAAGCAATGCATTTTTTACTAAGCCCCTATTAAAAATTAATGTTTATTCATCTTTAATTATATGTCGTCTTGCATCTTGTAATAGTGGAGTCATAATGTCGTCTTACAGCTGATCAGCTGTCCACGGCACCTTTTACAAATCAGAGCCCGTTCTCTTTAAGGAGAGGATGTTGCGTAGACGTTGGAACATTACCAATCAGACGAATCAGACAGACATTTCTAATAACTTTGTTAGAAATCAAAACTTAAATAGAAACACCGTCAATTATTGCATTGAATAAATTTAGTGATAATCAAAAAAGAAAAGATGGGTCCGTATAGTTTATGATTTTTGGACCCCAGCCCCCCACCCCCCTCCCATCAATTTTGTACATGACCATTTTTATTTTTTAGAAAATCGTTTTCTAGGAAATTACTTAAAAGATAAATTGGATGCATTAACAGGCAAATTTTCATAATTTTTAATTATTTTTAGTTTTTACCCAAAAATTCAGCAATTAAAACCCTTAAAACCATAAAAATTGTTTTTCTCATTTTTTCTATTCCCTATTTCTTTGAAACCTCATGGTGTTTAATTTTTGGGAGGGGATTAATTATTTTGGATAGGGGGAAAGATTAATTCAAAGAAAGGCACTAAGATTTTTTTTAAAACGGAAAAAGAGGAAATGCCTCAACTAAATAAACTTTAAAAAGTTTTTAAAAAAAACGGAAACGCCTCAAAAAACCTTTATATGGTGGTGTATTTTTCGACCTACACATAAACCGCCATACTCCATTTCTGACCTACGCCAAATCCGCTATACTACACATCTGACCTACTAGCACGTGATATTACAGCTGCTATATGGACTTGTGGCCGCAGCGCCCGGCCCCCTAGCCTGTCCTAGCCGCGGCGCTCGGCCCCCTAGCCTGTCCTAGCCGTAGCACTCGGCCCAGAAATTGTCTTAACCTAACCTAACCCTCAAATAATAGTAAAATAAACAGCTGGCGTAGGTCCGATATTGCAGTAAGTTCAATAATGTTTTGTAAAAAAAGATAAGTACAAAGTAAAACATTTAGAATTTTTGTTTTAAAAAAAATATTTTAAAAAAATAACATTTTTTAACAGTATAGAACCATTTTTGACAAAAAATATAACAATTCTTTAAGAAAAATATAAAATGTTTTGATAATGTTTAATTCTTGAGAAAAGGTTACATTACAGCTTTAAACCAAATATTCAGAATTCATTATATTTGAGTAAATTTGACTGTTAAACATTTAATAATTTCTCATGAAACAACAAAATCTTTGTTCATATGAACCTGTATACAATTTTAGCTTCATAATAATGTCATGGTCATCTTTCTAGACATTTTTTTATTTCTTGGTCTCCACTATTTATACTATTTTTTTGTTTGTTTGAACTGTTTTTTATGTTTGCCCTAATTATTATTTTACCATCTCCAGAAATGAATCAAGTTGTTCATTAAACAAAATAAACCCATTAAATAATTTTGTATATACTTAAAAGCACTTAATAGTGTCTGTATCGCATTAATTATGCTCAATTCATGTTTCAGATAGAATGGCAGAAATGATAAAACACGAATTTGATGTCAAGGACTGTAAGATAAACTCTACTGTTGTAGAAGAAACATGTTTTGTGAATATACCTGAAGATGAAATAAAACTTGAAAATACAGAAATACAAGGTAAACTTGATAGTTTTCATTTTCAGGGCGTAGAACTCAGAGCTATCACACACATTTCAAATCTTAAATTGAAGAGTTTGCCGTTCGGAATTGGGCTCCCCCCACCCCCTCTTAAACAAATATACATTATTTAGGGGAATTTTAAAAATCGAATATTTAGGCCTACATGAGTTTCCTCAAAAAAAATCAGCCCACTCGGTTCAGCTGTTTGACCAGCCATAGCGAACATAAATAAAAGAAGAGCTTTATTATATAGATCACAATTTTGCTCCAACTTTTTTAGCAAAGTTTTTCATTTACAAAAATCCTAGACCCCCTCTGGTCGGACCCGGACCCCTTAGGCACTTCAACATATATGATTGTTTTCTTAATAATTGCCAATTTGTCCATTGTATCATATTTTATAAAAATCTTTTAAACCTAACAAAACTGTATTTTTGTCTAATTACCAGAAATTTTTTATATTTTATCCTTTATGAACATTGAACATTATTAAATGTAATTTTATCTTTATAAATTTAGGAGAAAACATGGATCACTGTTCTGATCCTCTGCTATGTGAACCAAAGAGAATCAAGAAGAGTCAAGATAGATGTCCTTGTCTTGCATCTGAATATGCTGCAACTTCTGCAAAAAACCTGAAGATTCATGTTGAAAGTAATCATGAAAGAGTGAGATATCCCTGTACTAAATGTGATTATATTGAAAATACAACAAATAACCTGAAGTTCATGTTGAAAGTAATCACGAAAGAGTGAGATATCCCTGTACTAAATGTGATTATATTGGAAATGCAACAAATAACCTGAAGGTTCACGTTGAAAGTAAACATGAAGGTGTCAGATATCCTTGTCCAAAATGTGAATATGCGGCAACTACAGCAGGTAGCCTGAAGCTTCATGTTCAAATTAAGCATGAAGGAGTGAGATATCCGTGTTCTCATTGTAATTATACCGCTACTACAGCAGGCCATCTGAAGATTCATGTTCAAAGTATTCATGAAGGAGTGAAATATCCATGTTCTCAATGTGAGTATGCCGCAACTACAGCAAGTAGCCTGAAACTTTATGTCGAAAGTAAACACAAAGGATTTAGATATTCTTGTTCCCAATGTGAGCATGCTGCAACTACAGCAATGGCTCTGAAGAGACATGTTGAAAGTAAGCATAAAGAAGTAAAATATCCTTGTTCTCAATGTAAGTATGTTGCAACTGACACAAGTAACCTGAAAAAACATGTTAAAAATAAACACGAAGGAGTGAAATATCCTTGTTCTCAGTGTGAATATGTTGCAACTCAAACCAGTTCACTAAAGGTTCATTTTCAAAATATTCATAACGCAGTTAGATATCCTTGTCCTAAATGTAAATATGTGGCTACTACAGCATTTAGCCTGAAGATTCATGTTGAAAATAAACATGAAGGAATAAGGTATCCTTGTCCGAAATGTGAGTATGCTGCAACTCAGAAAGGATATCTGAAGAAACATTTGAAAAATAAACACAAATGAGTAATATATATCTGTTTTTATTGGGAATATATACTGCAGCTGAAGCTATAAATGTAAAGAAATGTTTAAAAATTGTCATATTAATAATATCACATTTACTTATTATTCAAGAATTGTGCTAGGAATTTCAAGAGAATTATTTGATAAAAGTGATAAAAAAATTTATATTCTGGTTTGTTTTCTTTTCTAGAATGGTAATTAGTTATTCTGGAAGAATGTTTTCAATTCAGAAATTTTAATGTCAATGCTTCATTTGAATTATTTCGGTGACATGGAAACGCCTCAACACGGAAACGACTCAACACGGAAACGGATCAAAAATTATTTTTGAGGCATTTCCGTTTTTTTTAGAAATTCGAGGAAATCCCTCAAAAGTTCAGAATTGTTGAGGGATTTCCGAATATTTTGTATCCGTTTCCCAATATTTAGAGTTGAATGGTTTCCTCTTTTTTTTGATCAATTTCCTCATATTTTTAGGTCTGTTTCCTCATATTTTTGATCCGTTTCCGCTTTTTTTCAAAAACTTTAAGAATCTTAATTTGTTGATCGGTTTCCTCAAATTTTTGATCCGTTTCCTCATATTTTTGATCCGTTTCTGCTTTTTTCAAAAACTTTAAAAATCTCGTTTTGTTGATCGGTTTTCTCAAATTTTATGTCCGTTTCCTCATATTTTTGATCCGTTTCCGCTTTTTTCAAAAACTTTAAAAATCTCAATTTGTTGATCGGTTTCCTCAAATTTTAGGTCCGTTTCCTCATATTTTTGATCCGTTTCTGCTTTTTTCAAAAACTTTAAAATCTCAATTTGTTGATCGGTTCTTAAATTTTAGGTCAGTTACCTAATTTTTTATGATTCGTTTCATCTTATTCAAAACTTTTAAATCATCTTTTTTGGCATCCGCAGGGGAGTAACGAGAGCATTTTCAGAATTTAAAGTAAAAAACAGCAATTTTTAATTGTTGAAGGGATTGTTCTGCGCTCAATAATATACCAAATTCTTATAATAACAATGGTTTGTTCTTGTTTGCTAAACATACTTTGTCATACAACTTTAAAACGAGTTAATAAATTAAAAAAAAAAATTTTATAATCTTATAGTGCCTGACTAACAAAATATCGTTTCTAAAACATTTCAGAAACGTTATGTAAGGTAGCGTGACGTTATAGTTGAAAGGGGGTATAGGCTTAATGCGATAAAAAAATTTTCGAAAAGGGGGGAACCCCCCCCCCCAGACCATTACAAAATATTATATAGCCCCCCCCCTAGCAAAAGTCCTGGTTGCGCCTCTGCTTGAACCTACCTATAGAGTAAAGACATGTGTGTGGAAGAATGTACCCGGAGAACATAAACAGTTGTAAATGCCACTCTTTAAAAAGTTAGTTGTAATTACAGCGACAGTCCCTTTATTTATCAATCCAAAGCTTGGGTTAGAAAAGATCTATCCTGAGACAGTCTAGATGTCTAAAGAGATGCGAAATTTAAGTTTTGATCCTTTCTTTCACTTCACACTTTATCCTGAACATTTAATTATTAGAATAAAAATGCCGAAGTTAAAAAATAACTGAGTTTCCCTTTGTAATGTTTTGTAAGAACGTTATTTTATGTGTGCAGGTACCAACAAGTTCTCCAACTTTTTACTTCAATTGTGTGTTCTTCAACTTGGTGGTTAACGTGGGAACCCCTCCATTAGCATAGCTGCCATTAGCCCTGTGGAAAGACTTCCAGAGCCTTTTGATATGCAGAATTGCTTCCATTCCCCACAAAACCATCTCCGTGCCTCATGCATTTTTGATTCTGCTTGCTGTGTTAATTTTTCGCTTATTTCTATGGCTGAACCAAGCAAAATCAAAATATACTTTATAGTATACTCCACAAAAGTTTAGAGAATCGATTAATCTACAAAGTTGAAATATTAATTTATTCAATTGATCTTAACTTCTTTAAAAGACATAAATAGCAGTCTTAAGAAATAGTTTTCCTGTTGTAAAATTCGGGATCAAAATGAAGGCATGGAGACAGAATGGCAAAGGCTTAAAGACAGTTTTACTGGGATCGGAAGGTATTGCGTGCATCAGAAGGCTCCGGAGGTCTCTCTTTTCACAAGTTTTTTTAAAGTTTGATCTAAACCCAAGAATGGATCAAAAACTAAAATGAAAAGAAATTGCTAAAAAGTAATACTAGATTTTTATGGTTATGAAAAAAGTAGAAACTGATATACAATAAAAAAATTTTGTAATAAGCGGAAATGGATCCAAAATATGAGGAAATGGACCATAAATTTGAAAAATCAGATCAAAAAATGAGATTTTTAAAGTTTTTAAAAAAAGCGGAAATGGATAAAAATAATAAGGAAAGGGACCTAAAATTTGAGGAAACTGATCAACAAATTAGGATTTTTAAAGTTTTTGAAAAAAGCGGAAACAGGTACAAAATATGAGGAAACGGACCTAAAATTTCAGGAAACTGATCAACAAATTGAGATTTTTTAAGTATTTGAAAAAACCGGAAACGGATCAAAAATATGACGAAACGGACCTATAGTTTGAGGAAACCGATCAACAAATTGAGATTTTATAAGTATTTGAAAAAACCGGAAACGGATCAAAAATATTAGAAAACGGACCTAAAATTTGAGAAAACCGATCAACAAATTGAGATTTTTAAAGTTTTTGAAAAAACCGGAAACGGATCAAAAATATGAGGAAACGAACCTAAAATATGAGGAAACGGATCAATATTAAAGTTTAGGAAAAAAGCGGAAACGGATCAAAAATATGAGGAAACGGACCTAAAATTTGAGGAAACCGATCAACAAAACGAGATTTTTAAAGTTTTTGAAAAAAGCGGAAACGGATCAAAAATATGAGGAAACGGATCAAAAATTTGAGGAAACCGATCCAAAATATGAGGAAACAGATAAATTTGAAAGTTTTAGAAAAAAGCGGAAACGGATAAAAAAAATGAGGAAACGGACCAAAAATATTGGGAATCCCCTCAAAACTATTGGGAAATCCCTCTAAAATATTTGAATAAAATAAAGGGGAAACGGATATACAATTCTGGGAAATCGATCAAAAAAAAGAGGAAACTCCTCAAAATTTGAATTTAGAGGGGTTTCCAAAAAATTTGAAGAAAATGCGGAAATGTCTCAAAAAAACCGGTTTTTGAGGGGTTTCCGCGTATTTTTGATCCGTTTCCGTGTTGAGTCGTTTCCGTGTTGAGGCGTTTCCATGTAACCATTATTTCCCCTTTTGTTTGAATCATAATTTTCATCTTGACAATTATTTTTCTTCCAAATCATCATTTAATTATTAACGTGCCATGAATGAATTAAATTGTTAAAAAATATATTAAGCAATGAACTAACTTCGCATTGATATGCTGTATTGCTTTTTGTTTTGCTTAGACCATGTTTTAGATAGAATGGCAGAAATGATAAAACACGAATTAGATGTGAAGAACTGTAAAATAACCTCTACTGTAGAAGATACATGTTTTGTGACTATACCTGATGATGAAATAAAGCTTGAAAATACAGAAATTCGAGGTAAACTTGATATTTTACATTTAAAAAAATTGAATTAAGCCACAGCTGGTTAATTTTTAAATGGCCACATTTATTTAAAATGGTCTTGTATTCTTGGTCAAATTTTCTGTATCTACGCAAAAAAAAAAAGAGAAACCACAATTGTAAATGATCAGATTTGAAGTAGAAAAATAAGAATACTGATCATTAATACTTTAAAACTCAAAAACTAATAGGGGACCGTTGAGAATTTGAAAGGGCACTTAATACTTGGAGAGTCTATAAACGGTTTTTTATTAAACAAATTTTATATTCATTTTTTTTCGATTTTTGTTTAACAATTACTGTGTTAGGTTAGATCATTTTTAAAATCAATGTAAAAAGTTGACTAAAATTCAAACCAATTTTAACATTTTCAATTCCAAAATTGTTAGAATTCTAGTTAAAAGGAATGTTTGTATTTTTGGTTCAAAGTAGTTGTATTCATATTCAATTATATATAATTATAATTATATATAATTTATAAATAAATTAACTATAATTTTGTCACTTATATTTTTGGTCTTTATATGTTTGCCTTGTCCCAATTTACATATGTATTGATAATTGATATATCGCATACTACTATTATTCTGAATTCTGAATCATGAGAGTATGAGAAAAAAAAATATTGGGCGCGCGCGTGCATTTTTGTCAGTTTTGTTTGGATATGATCTGTACAGAGAAATGGATGTACATTGTATGATTGTACAATACATATTTCTGAGTTCACACTTGACATGCCTGTAATTAGCGTCCTCTGACGACAGGGGCAGCTTATGATATTTTTCAGGGGGGGGGCAAATAATTGAATTATTGTGCGCGCCAGAATTCCCCCCCTTGCATTTGGACAATTTAATGTCAAAACCATGAGGAGCTTTGGGTTGCAAGGGGAAAAATGTGTTAGCAAGATTTTGATATTAATAACAAATATTCTTTTAGAGTGAAAAAGTGGCACCACATGCAATTTTTTTAAAATCTGTTCTTAAAATTATAAATTAGATGGCTAGAAGGTTGGCTCCTAATTTTTCCACACCTTTCCAGAGAGTGGGACGTCCTCCCAATTTACCAAGGGGGAAAATCCCCTAATTCCCCTATCATAGATATATTATAGACTGATATATATATATATATATATATGAATTTTCTGGCTGGGGTGTCATGCAGTTCATTAGACATTGGACCCTGGACTTCAAATTTGTCTCTCATTTTCGTAAAGTTAATAATTGTCAATCGAGTAAAGAAAAACATTTTAAGTCTTTAAAACTTGGTAAAAGTTAGCCTCCTTCTTTGTATCAAAGAAACTGTCGGAGACACTAAAGATTTAAACAACCTTGGTAGTATTCAATAATTGAAATTTTAGATAAATTTCTCAATATCTCAGTCAATTTTTAAGGAACAAAAATGGCAGACTACTTTTTGGAAATGCCAAAACAATGAGCATTTGATGCTACTAATGTCTTGAGAGGCAATGTCATGTTTACACAATATTAGTTATAGTATTTCGTTTTTTCTTACTCCAGAGCCCACCACTTACTAATAATCCACTCTGTTTTGGACCCTGAACTTCCCTTCTAACATTTTTTAAATTAACTAGTTATTTTTCAAGAATGAACGATAAACAGAATGAAAATTTGTCAGAGTGAAACCTAAAGTACACAATTTAGAAATTTCACTTAAAAACTAGGGTCCACTTAACTACATCAGCTGTGAAGCCCATCCAAAAGTATTACATGTATGTACGCTGGTCATTAACAGTTCAGAAAGGTAGATAGAATCATATCTACAAGCTGGCCGTGTCCCCGTCGTCCCCTCCCCTTAAGCCGCCTCTGTATGACGATGCTAAGTTATGTTTAAATACTTATAAAATATCCCAGAAAGTAATACGTTTTGCTACCTCCTCCCCACCCCACCCCGACCACCCTTTATAAAGTCAGGTTTAATAGAAAATCACCTAAAGGCAAGAAATTGGGATTTATAATTTTCTCATAATATTGTATTATGCAATGTAAGATTTAACTTATAAAAATCTGATAAATATCAATAACTAACTGAATAAAGTACACGACTTTGCCCGTGCCCTTCTAGAAATGTCTCAAAAACATGGATAAATGTTCCAACGGTCTATTTTAAACATTAAGTATTAACATTTTATTTTTTACTATTCAGGAGAAAACAAGGTTCAAGGATTTGATCCTCTGCAATCTGAACCTAAACTAAAGAGAATCAAGAATAATAAAGATGAATATCTTTGTTCTCAATGTAAGCATGCAGCAACTACAGCAAGGCATTTGAAGAGACATATTGAAAGTAAACACAAAGGAGTGAGATATTCGTGTTCCCAATGTCAGCATTCTGCAACTACAACAAGTGATATGAAAAAACATGTTAAAAATAAACACAAAGGAGTGAGATATCCTTGCCCTGAATGTCAGCATGTTGCAACTACTACAAGTACTCTGAAGAAACATGTTAAAAATAAACACGAAGGAGTGAGATATCCTTGCCCTGAATGTGAGTATATTGCAACTCAATCAAAACTTCTTCAGAGCCAAGTTGAAAGTATTCACGGAGGAGTGAGATATCCTTGCTTAAAATGTGGATTTATTGCAACTCGAGCAGGAGATCTAAAGAGACATGTTGAAAATAAGCATGAAGGGGTGAGATATCCTTGTTTACAATGTGATTATGCCGCGACTAGAGGAAGTAGTCTGAAGCAACATGTTGAAAGTAAACATGAAGGAGTGAGATATCCGTGCTCTCAATGTGAGTATGCCGCAACTAAAGCAGGTGATCTGAAGAGACATGTTGAAAGTAAACACGATGAAGTGAGATATCCTTGCTCTGAATGTGAATACATTGCAAATAAAGTAAGTAGCCTGAAGAGCCATGTTGAAAGTATTCACGAAGGAGTGAGATATCCTTGCTTTAAATGTGGATTTATTGCAACTCGAGCAGGAGATCTAAAGAGACATGTTGAAAATAAACATGAAGGGGTGAGATATCCTTGTTTACAATGTGATTTTGCTGCAACTAGAGGAAGTAGTCTGAAGCAACATGTTGAAAGTAAACATGAAGGAGTGAGATATCCGTGCTCTCAATGTGAGTATGCCGCAACTAAAGCAGGTGATCTGATTAGACATGTTGAAAGTAAACACGAAGGAGTGAGATATCCTTGCTCTGAATGTGAATATGTTGCACCGTCAGCACAGGGTCTCAAAAGACATTTAAAGAAGAAACATGATCGCTAGTTTTTATTGTTGTTAAAGTTCGTTGTAATCGAAATTATAAAAGTTTTTCTTAGTTATTAATATATTGACTCACGTAGGTCCTCCTGGGGGTCCATATAATTCCATCTGATCAATCCCAAATGTTGATTGATTAATATTAGGGGCAGAAGTAACCATGTTGTTATTGTAAACAATTGGAAGTATATAATGTCAAGTTGTAGAAAAAATTCCACACTGCAGAATGTTTACTGCAAGGGAGTGTTTATTTTTCTGTATATCATAATTAAACTCTTACATTTAAAACTAATATTAACATCTTTTAACACCCCAAATGCAGTGCACATTTCTGAAGTGTAGTACACGTACACAAAAACTTGTCAAAGTTCACAATGAAAAGTGTACTTTCATGCCCCTAAATGTACTTTAACCCCGATCCCATATGGGATCAGAAATGGAATTATATGGACCCCTGGTCCTCTGATATCCTTAATTTATAAGTTTTAATATTCAAAAGTGTCTTAGTTAAAAAAATTTCAATTTTATATCTTTTGAATTACATTTCGTTATTTCTTTTCTTAAAGGGAGTGTTCGCGAAAAATGAAAGGGTGGTATAGACTTACGACGAAAATTAAGTGCTAATCTTTCTTCTATTTTTTTTCGCTATGGTGTCTCTGCCACGTGGAATCATTAAGAGCATCGAGAGAAGAGAAAACCTAGCGGACAAACTAATAGGTGTTTTAAGTGCATTGTATATAAATAAATACAAAATATTATGAAAAATCAACTATATGCGAATGCATCGACAAATTTTCGATGACCAAAGGTTGTAATATCTAAATAATTTGTTTGATAATAAATTGATTTTTTTACGATCCAAGTCATGGATTGCAATTTTCTCAATTTGGGTGGATGCTACGTTATTCGGTATTCGCGAACACTCCCTTTAAATCTTAAGAAAATAATTTTGTTTTCCAAGAATTGTCGTATTCCAATAAGAAATATCTAATGTATTATTTACAATACTATACACTGTAAATTAGGCAATGGCAGCACTATTTAGTTAAGTCTTCATTTTTGTTTTTAAGTGTTAAAATTATAAATATTTTTTTTTTATATATTTTTTCAAAAAGAAATATTATTTTTGATCTGAAAAAACCCAAAATGTATTAAATTTTTTTTTGATTTTATGGTTTCCGCCTTTTTAGAGAAAACAACAAAGAAAAGAACATGTTTATTTTTCAGAAAATTTTTACATTTTTCACTAACTCTATTTTCCAGATAGAACGGCGGACATTAGTATTTAGACATTATTTGTGATAATTTCCTTCAAGGAAGAAATCCTTCCATCTAATTGTATGCAGTGTACAGGATACATGTACTGGTTGTATACACAAAGATGATATAAAGATTGGAAATACAGGAATTAAAGATAAAATCAATAATTTCATATTTTCCTGGAAATCTTAAGATTACTTAATGATTAAAGGAAAGTCAAACATTTACATCTTTATATTGGGGTTAATTTGTATGAAATTAATAGTCAAATAGACAATAGTTAATTGAACAAGTGGAAAGAATACATTTTTTCGGGGGGGGGGGGGGGATGAAAAATTGGACATCCACTGGTAAGTTTTCCACCCATTTTGATTCTTGTTTATGAAAAAATTGGTCTATTTTCCCTAATTCAGCGTATATTTTGGAGAAAAATGATGGAAGATTATTTTCTAGAAAATATTTACCCCTGGACTAATTTGTTTCAGGAGTACGTCTGTCCGTAATACAGCTATCTAGAATTTGAATAATTACTAAACCCATTATTGACATCTGGCCCAATGTTATATTACTTAAAGAGTTTTATGCAATGATAATGCCCCGTAAAATTCCAAAACAGAGAGAGGGGGATTGAATTTTGTAGATCCAGAAAAATAATATCTGTATGATGCCTACGTAGAGACTGGCAGTTGGTGTAGCCGCAGTGCTCGGCCCCCTTGCCTGTCCTAGCCGCGCGCGCTCGGCCCAGAAAGTGTCATAACTTTACCTAACCCGTGGCCTTTGATATTTTCTAAAACTCCTAAAAAACAAAAATTGCGCGAAAAATGACAAATTATACATTTTTGTAAAGCTTTTTATTCCAAAAATCCGTCAAAATATGAAAAATGGCCGAATTAAAAAAAATTAAAAAATTATTTACTTGCAAGGGGGCGCAAAGTGCCGTACAAGTCTAGTATATTAAAAACGAATTGGAGGATGAATTGATACTTCTGGTGGAATTCTAGTTAATCTTTGAAAGCAATTTTTGATAATAAAAAATGTGTGCATTAAAAACTTTTTCTTATCATCTTCTTTCTGCGTCCCTGAATTTTCTAATTGATTCTCTAGAATAGGTTTAACTGTCTTACTGTCCTTGCTGTGTTGGTTTAACTCTGTATTTACTCTGAATGAGACTGTGTGGCTGGCAGACGTAGCTGTCGGTTTCCCAGCTAACATTAAATCTTCGCCAGAGTTGGTTTTCCGCCGTCGTAAATGCGATGGCGGGGGGTACACTGTACCGCAATAGTATATACTATAAGACATCGAACCAGGTGATCGGAGCTCCGCCCAACTCCAGCGAAGCTTGTCGTAGAACGAGGCGGTATAACCGCCGTCGGTCTTTATGTTAGCTGGGTTATTTGACCTATATTTGGAATTTTATTTATTTCATCTTCCTCTACAACTTCTGACAACAACAAAAATACTATAGAAAATACAGTTTTTTATTTAATTATAGCAGGTACAGCTACAATGTTTCCAATCATTCACGTGACCGTTTTCATGTAACGTAGTTGCACACCATGGAGTATCATAGTCAGCTGTCGTACAACTCTTGAACCAGCTTTCCTTATACTTGAATGGAAAAATGCACTTTTCAGGCCATGCATGATTATAACACATTGCAGATCCTAGCATGGACAATAAAAGGATGGCGGAGAAAATGCTGATCAAAGGCTTCATATTTTCCTAAATAAAAAATTTTAAGATTGTGTAAAATTTAAAAGAGAGGAATTACGTCAGTTCCGTGTTCCCCATAAAAACACTTAATCAAAACACTTATTTTGTGAGTATGTCTGAGCATAGGTGTATTCTGATTAAATTTACTTTTTTTCTATTTAAAAACAAATAGTGCCCATGACCGAAGATATAGACTCAAACGAAAAAAAAATGTTCGTTATCAATTTTGAAAAGAAGTCTATATATATATGTTTTATTAGAGCCAATATTTCGGAAAATTTGAAAAAATCTAACTTTTAACTTGTTTTTACTTCGTAGGTTTTTTAGAAGCCCTTGAAATCCATATTAGCCTTAATATGTTTAAAAAACGCAGCCCCATGGTCCAATGGTCCAATGGTCCAATGGTGCAAAAATAAAAGGACGCACTGAGGGCACTGTACATTGATGGCTTAGCTTACAATTAAGTATTCAAGAACAAGAACGAAAATAATAAATTATAAATAATACACAGATAGATAGATTTAATATGATATGCAGTGAGACATATTTAATTGTGGAATAAGAAGACGACTTTTAGACTAAAATTGTGAGTTTAAATCGTCCAAAAAACATTTAATACCGCAATTGTTCAGTTGCTGCAGACCCATTTCACATAAACATTTGTTTTCAAATAGACTGGTAAAACTGCATTAAAACAGCTTACTTTAATCATAAGATTGCTCAAATATTTTCATCTTATTCCACAGTTTTATGTATCTCACTGTATTAGTAAAAAGGTTTACCCACAAAGAATGAGACCTTATTGCTCCCAAGGCTAAAGATAATCTGAATAGGTTTCTCTTGTCTATAAAGTATTTATACAGCGTTGTAGAGTTATAATGGCAGACCCCATGCAAGGGGCGGAAGGGGAGAGAATTGAATTTTGGAGTTAGAACATTGGCGAGTTGAAAATATAAAAGAAAATTGTCAATATTTTGATATTTATTTTTCCCTTTTGCAGCCCCCCCCCCCTTTCTATAGAATAAATAAAGGATACGTCCCTGCCCCATACTGCACCTTTTTCTAAAAGAACAGATAAATGGAAACCCCACAATCTGAAAAGGGGGATTCCCTGATTTTTAGATTTGACAGAAAAATTCCTTTAAGGCTATGACCTATAATATAATAATTTCGCAGATTTGATTAGTTTCATAATGGTTGCATGATTTTAGAAAAAAATTTAATTAATAAATTCGAGTTAAGCAGTTTTGACTTTTGACGTTAATTGAATACAAACACAGACAAATATGTATGTGGTCAAAATTACGATAATCTTTTCGTATAATTGGAAAAATATAAAGTTCATCGCATATTTTCTATTTACCTTTTTGGAGGGGTTCTGAACTGTAAATAAATAAAAGAAGACTAAAAAATAAAGTTTTTTTTAGATCATTAGATGATATTATCAGTTGTAGCTAATCTTCCAGCAGCTCCAGAGTTCTAAACGAACTCTGTACCATCAAAAGGGGATTTTATAGATATTCTAAAATCAGAATAGAGTTATCATTTTCGGACCAAGTCCTGGATCAGAAAGTTCATCTACGCCTGCAGTTTCAAGCAGCTCCCTACAGAAGCAGCCTTCTACGTTTCTGCTTCAGATAGCTCTAACGGTTCATCTATACCGGCTGCAATCAGCTCCCTACAGAAGCAGCCTTCTACGGTTCTGCTCCAGACTGCTCCTTGATGTTCTGAAGATTCGTCAATATCTGCAGTTTAGAAGCTCCCTAAATCCTCCCACAGAAACTAACTACACAGTAATAACGCTCCCATATATTCCATAACAAGTTTTTACCATGAAATAAACATTTTTCAACCCCCACCATGTATCATTTAGTTAGACTTATGGTTTAACAATACATGCTTGGTTTCCGTTAGTTCCATATTGGTTTTCATTAGATCCATTCTTGGTTTTCATTGGATCCATTCTTGGCTTTCATTGGGGCAAGAATATTTAGCAATGATTAAATAAATTGAGATTCTATATCTAATATCCTTTGTAAAATATATTGTGCATTGATCACTTTTAATTTGAAATTAAACTTTTAACAGGAACTGATAATTTGCAATGCAGTATAAAAATGCAATAAATAGGCAAAGTTTAATGGATTTTGTGGACAATTTTTATTAAATTAGGCTTTTAGGGCGCTTCAGGCCCATATTATATTTCAATTGTGAACATTTTCTCTTTGTGTGTAATGTAAAACATACAAAAAACAAAGTGTTCGCGGATTTTATAAAAGAATTTTGTGGGTTTCCAAATTTAATTACATTCAAATTTTGTTGGAGGCTAATTTTTGAAAGGGGATGGTGGAGTTGGCACATTTGATGTAGGGGGGGGGGGCCCTGCCTTCATTTTTGGTTCAAATCTTCCAATTTTTTGGATGCACGCCTAATTAGGGTTCGAAATTCCTATAATAAAATCAAATTGAACTTTAATGACCTCTAATGACCTCTAATGACCTCTAATGACCTCCACAAATAGAAAATATTTCAACTATGGCTTAATGCATATCAAACGAAAGCTAGGAACC